TTCTCCATTGGCTTCCAGTAAAATATGATGATTATGGATGTGTCTCTGGATTATGAATGTCGTTTCCCCGACGAAGCCTGACACCGTTTTGATGTATTGAAGGAGTTCAGCGATGTTTAATGTGGGAGAAGAAGCAGCGCAAACATAACCCGGCGGATATAATCAATTCGCGCAATAAAATTAAAAAATAAATATAAAGTAAATAAAGTAATTTAAATAAATAAAATAAAAAAATTAGGCAGCTGCCTTTAATTGATTTTTCCTCTGAAACGTTGACTACAAGTCCAAAGTGCACAGATTGACTAACCAGTGTTCTTCTTTATTACATTCTCTGTGCACGCTATTTATTTCAGACATGTACAAGTTATACTTTTAAAAATGTGGCTGGAGACAACAATGGCCATTCAAAAAGAGGCCTTAATTCTATATAGTGCACCATCTGTCATGCAGCTGTTTGTTGGTGTTTCATTTAACTGGTGAAAGGGCCATTTGCACCTTGAGCGCACATTTCAGTTTGGCTCCAGCCAACCACAGAGCTGCAAAAGCTGAGAACAAGACTACACTGACCCCCCCCCCGCCCCTCTCTCTGTCCTTCAGTCTGGTTTGGGAGATCTCTCTTGGAGCCCTGCCTAGAGCGAATGGGTCGGACCGTCTCTCTCCCCGCAGTTTTTCCTGCAGCCTCCAGCGCCTACATCATGAATTTTGGGACTAAAAGAGCGCTTGGATTATGCGCTCAGGTCCGCCCTGCTCCTCTGCAGCTCGTCCGGGACACGGGGCAGGTGAGCAGGTCTGCGCGCTTTCTACTTTCCCCGGCGGTGAGGGGAGCGAGTCTGCGCTTAGCGCGGAACCGGAGGAGAGCGCTCTCACTGGGGGGCTTTCATGTCCTCTGCTCATACGCCTGGAGTAGTAAAGACTCATTGATATGTCGGTTGATGTGCTGCTAATGGTTATTTGGTGAACGTGATTTGTATTCTCTTCGGTTCTTGAGATGGTGTGATTCCGCGTTACGCCGCAGTACTTGTTAAAGAAGAAGCGTAGAAAAATGACATTTGGATATGACTGCTTGATTGTCCGAGTCATTTACGGAAGCTAGTGAGTTTTATCAGTGGTACTGGACCTTGCTTTGCTGATTTAGGATTTGGATTCCCCGCCCTTACCTTTGCCGCATTGTTAATGAGCCATGTTATTTACTCCCGATGGTTACAATGATCATAGCCATTCGCCATTTGTTCCCAATGTGTCAGAAGCCAGTTCAACACCAGCCGTGTGGCGTAAAAATCAGTGTCGCTTTGTTTTCTGTTCATTTTGGTGCTCAGGAGCAGCAATGGGTGGAATCACTGGACTGAGCCACGCTGTGCTCCACACTCCAGTCGAGCTGCCCATTCATGAGGATGTGTGTAAGTGTGAGAGTAGTAGCCTTTGCGGGTGGGTTGGAGGGGACAGAATAAGATTTACGAGGTCTGCGTTTGAGTATCTGTGAAGGAAAACTTAATGAGAAAGGTCTTGTTTTCCTGCCTGCGTTAATTCAATTAGTAAAAAGGAAGTTTATTCTGCCTGTGACCAAATAATTCCAAACACCAGAGATGGAGAGAAACCCGAAGGAGGATATGATGGAGTGATATCTCAGGATGAACTGATTACTGTGGAGGACCCTTTTGTTCTCCTCTTTTTACAACAATATTCTCCACCTGATTCTCTCTTTATTCATCTTTCTTCTATTTGACTAATAATTTTGTGTTTTGTTTTAGCCTTTCTGCCTTTTCTTAGCAATAAAAGCAATGTAAAAAGCCGCGTTCTGCCCCTTCCACTTTGAAAGTTTTAAATCTGCTCAGCATACCCATCCATGTACTCTATGGACACTCGTGTCTCTCTACATCATATGAAAAGTCCTGAACTCATAGCAATGATTATTGGCTGAGCTGCGAAACGGCAGTCGGCTGTTAAACAGGAGAGGGAGGGGAGAATGAATTTAACAGATTTATATCCTTTGTCCCTGAAAGAACATCGACAGCTTCACCAAAGTATCCACATCTCTCATCTTTCTCCTCCGCTGCTTCTCTTCTCTTTTTGGTCTTATTCTGATCTTCCTGCTGCCCTCTCCTTTCCTGACGCATCTTTCTGCTCGTTCCTCTTTTGCTTTCTGTGCTCTTTTCTGCTTTTTCTTGCCCAACAATCCTTCTTTCTGCATTCTGGTTCCCAGGGCCTGCGTTCCTCTTCCCCTCTTCAACCTCCCACCTGATCTGTGCCTCCGCGAATCAGGAAGCTTGCTTGCTGTGTCGCTGGCTCTTTCCTCCTCCAGTCTTCCTCTCCCCCCCCTGCATGTTTCCTGTTTCTTGGCTTCGTTCTTCTCCTTTATCTCCTCTCCTGCTCTTTTCCTTTCTATCTTCTTGTGATTCTGTTCACTCCTTCTGTGATAGGTGGTGTAGGGAGTCTGTTTTACACCACTTAAGTGATTCAGACCCCAAAGCAATGCCAACACTTCCCTTTCCCCTCTTCCTTTATCATTGTTCGATGAAACGCATTTACACCACAATTGGGGCACTAAAACGCTCACTAACGGCCAGTCTAACTACCAGGCATCAAAAAATACCTTTCAACGCTTCGCCAATCACGTTGAATTTGGGGTGACGTAGGAAGATTTTTATCTTCGCCGAACTGCATGGTGGGGAGCATGGCAGCTTTTCAAGGCACACAGAGCATCTATCGACATTGTTCAACTTTGAGGCTGGTGTTTGGCATCAGCATTCAAATGCCCGTTTATGCAAATCCCGCCAGTGCAAGCGCAAGCCAATCAAACCGCCGTGTTAAGCTGGGAGAGCCAGACCGGCAGGTTCATTTCCTCATATTCCAAACGAAGATATTCACGGTAGCAAAATCACCCGGTCTTTACACCAGAAACTATTTACCGGAGAACAAAACCGGACGGAACAGGCATGGAGGGAGGTGGCAGGACAGTGGGTGAAACTGGTAGGTTTTTCGCCTGTTTTTGGAGAGTTTATATCGTTACTTCGTTTTACATTGCTATTGCTTTGTATGTTGGGCGGAGATTC